TTTTGTATAAAAACAAACAAAAATCTTCTACGATATATATGTTACAGTCACGACAGTGAATTTGTAGCATTAGGGATTATGTATAATCACTGGTAACTTTAGTGATTATATATAATTACTAAAATATTCAGGATTTATGCATAATCACTAGAAAAAATGTCAGGGATTATACATAATAACTGGAATGAAGAGACAATGAAAAAAAGTAAAATAATCTATTCTATAAAATCATATTTAAACATCTTTAGAAACATAAATCTTAAACTATATGCACAATATTCTAATACATACAATTTATTTTTACAAACTACATTGTAGATTTGGATGATATCTTCTATAAGGGTCTGGATGGTTTCCATTATTTCTTTATTCTTTAATTTTTTAGATGATTTTTCTCTGTGCTTTATTTATTTTGACCATTATTCTCTATTCTGTTTATTATAGCTCACTTTTATTCTCTATTCTTTCTTTTTCTATTTTTGTCTCTTCCTTATTTTTTAGCCATTAATTTTGCATTGTTTGGCCATTTTTCAATATTCTGTAAACACCATCCAGACCCTTTTCTATTAAACATTTGCTCTGCTTTTCCTTTTTTTTTTTTTTTGCAGCAGCAGCAGCAGCAGCAAAAAAAAACAAATAAAACCCTTAGCCTTCACATTTTGAATCTGATTTTACTGCACTTTGAAGAGAAATAATTAAGTGCTCATTAGAACCTATGAATGCCCTAAAAAGGTCAACCAGACATGTCAAATTAATTCTTTGTGTATTATCTGAGCATAATTTTATGTTTCGTAGTCAGGAATTATCATTTTCAGCCATTTTATGAACGATGGCCATTATGTTTTTGGGGTCTCCCTTTCCGCGATAAACCTGCGGAATCGGTATCACACTCTCCTCCAAAATTGTGTACAATCTGTCAAGCATGTGTTCTGTTTGTGTTTCTGGACGATTAGTTGCATTTCTTTTCTTAGTTCGAATTCCTTGTTCGTTATCTTTCATCCTCTTTGTTTTACAGCAAATTAAATGATCTGTGCATTTATGTTGGTATTATTAATTTCAATTTAAAATACTCATTTGTTCAGTACTACAGTGGTTGTCGTTTGTTTCTGTGTATCATATTTGTTTCTCGTTCATTATTTTAACATAGATTAGGTCGCTAGTTTTCTCGTTTGAATTGTTTTACATTTGTCATTTAGGGACCTTTTATAGCTGACTATGCGGTATGGCTTTTGCTCATTGTTGAAGGCCATACAGTGACCTATAGTTGTTAATTTCTGTGTCATTTGGTCTCTTTTGGAGAGTTGTCTCGTTGGCAATTATACCACATCTTCTTATTTTTATATGGTATATTTTTTATCTTTGACGGAAGAAAATCTGAAATTCAGTATTTATATAGAATATTAAATTGCGCATATTCAACAATGGCCATTTTCCAACATTAAAGACAAGAGAGGAATTCGTGACTAAATTCTCTTTCGTTTTTATGATCTTGCTGATCAGCTGTTTACAGTTTTTTTTTTCTTCAAAAAAATGCAAAATTTGGTAAAATTCGTCATTAAAGGGCAATAACTCCTATATAGGGAATCGACCGACAGTTTCGTATATATAATATGATCTTATCATGCTGATTGTTAAGATGTTTGAATCTACTATCGTTTTTAATCAATAGCAAAAAAGTATTAAACCCGTTATTTAGGGGCAGTTACTCCTAGAAGGATTCCCATGTTGACAATATCGGCTACGTTTATCTAGTTGTATATCTTGTCTTGCCTATCATCTTTGTTGTGTAAAGATTCTCTCTATTTTCTGTAATTTTTGGTCAAAAACTCAAACATGGGTAATACATCGTCATTCAAGGGCAATAACTCTTATAAAAAATCCACTAAAGATTTCGACCATATTGACTTATTTGTTGATCTTGTCTAATTAGTCATTTTTGTTATTAAAGTTTCTCTCTATCCAGCAGTTTTCAATATAATAGACAAACACTTAAAATATTGTTTAGAGCAATAACTCTAATAAAGTTTTTGTCAGAAGAAACATTGGATAGTTCTTGACATTTAAAACCTTTTTTGGCCCGTCTGTTTCTATAACAGTTTTTAACATCAAATACAATACTTACAATATTTCCCAATGTTTTATTTTTAGACTATGATCCCCAAAAATTATTGTGGCCACGTTTGGTTTTTATTGTCCCAATAATTTCAGATGATACTAATTGTTGTACAAGTGAACGGACGACGACGGACTTTGTATGCCTATTGATTAGAATAGCTCATTTGGTCTTTCTGGCCAGTTTATCAAAAACAAAGTTTTTAATGTGGTTAGATTAATGTATTGTTGACAATTATTCAACATCTCTACTAATGCATACTATGTTGCAATGATATAATCTAGCAATTGGTCTTTAATAAACGTTAACGATTGTCGTGCGAATCATGAGAATATTGAATATACTGGTAAATTCATTTAAACTAAAATGATGACGACTGCGCTATCCCCGACTAAATAACTGAAGTCTCAGTACCCGGCTATAAGGTTGCATTACTATTAAACGTGTCTTTCATAGTTGTGCTTGCGAGGGCCGGTAGTGATTTACTCTTTATTTTTGAAAACTTAATATTATTTCACAAACAGCGAAACAACTTTATATATCCCATATTGAAAACTGATTTTCAGTGAATGAAACTTATGGCCGTTTATAAATACTTTATCTTGTTTATTTATTTATTTTTATTGTTGCACGGGCAACCGGGCGTACTTGGTATAATAACTTAACGTGTATATTTTTTTCGTTTTTTGACTGTTTTCGTTTGACATTAGTTAGCATCAGCTATGTTCATAAAACTATATTTTTTTTTCAAATTTAGTCTCCTTTTTATTGTGTTCGCAATAAGTAGTTCAATAAGGTCATACAACTTAAAAGCAAACAAAATCAAAACGACAAACAGGTCAATAAGCGTAACAACCGTTTTTTTTTCGCGTATTTGGTCCACTGAGAAATGGTATGTTGTAGTCCTTTATGAATTCATACTCATCGGGTCTAGACAATAAAGATATTGACATTTGTCTTACAATGAGGACAGTATGATAACTTGTGATTTTTTTTTTTATGTTATTTCGTATTGCTATCTCTTTCCTATTTTACTAAATATAATTTATTTCAGAACGCGATTTGAAAATGGTTTAACACAAAATCACTAAATCCGCATGACTTTAAGAGATAGATTAGCTGTGATGTCTGTACAAATATAAAAATAAGAAGCTGGAGTGTGTTTGCCAATGAGACAATTTTCCACAAGAGACCAAATGACGTAAAAGTTTGCAACTATATGTCATAGTACGTTTTTCAACAATGAAAAAAAACGCATGCGGACATGGTTAAGAAATAGTCCTTTACATGTCGATATCAACATCCGTGATCGTTCAATAGTATTATAAAACTCTTTAATATCGAAAATTGGTTTTACTTACTTATAGTGTGTTTTTTTATTATTCAAGGTTCTAAATGTTGACTTTTTGATGAAAAATCGGAAAATTCGACGACTTATAAAATTCCAAAATATACATGTAGTACATATATTCTTTTAACCTCTAAAAGATGTGTTTTCATAGTTTTGTCCTAGCTTTTTAATCACGAATTAGTTACAACAATGATGTTTTTGGTTTTGTGGTTACTAACATATAAATAAATGGATTCGTAAATGAGACAATCCAGCAACACAGAATCATTCTTTAACTCAAATTCTAACCATTGTATTGAATATTAAAAATATTCAAACTATTACAGTCATACATGTACGAGTCTGTGATCAGGAACCTAACGTAAAAGTACAAATCATTATAATACAATCCTTTAACTTTAATCTATCTTTGTGTTAAGAACAAATAAAAAGTAAAAATAATATACTTAACTAACATATAAAGTCCAAAACTGTTTCATGTTTTTCTCTACACTGCCATTTAAATCAGGTGAAAAGTAGATATGCAACTGACGTGTTAAGAAAGAACTGAAAATCCCGTCTGCGTATTCACTTGACCTTTTTTTAGCTATCTTCTAATTTCGATAAATCTATTATATTTTTGGAAACATGCGTAGCCAAAGTGGATAAAATTATGTGTAAGAATATAAGACAATGGAAACCAAAATTCAATAATAAACAAACAGGACACATTTCCCCTAAAAATGTATCCTAGATAGGAAAGAAATGTTTCTTTGAATGTGGAAAACATTTAATTAAGGACATCGATGGTAATAATTATATTTTTTTTTATCTATGATGAACTTATTAAAGTAAAGGATGAAAAACACAAACCTTAAAAACATGAGAAAAGGGTAACAGTTATGCTCATCTGTCGCTACAGTCACACTGTCTTGCTCAATTACAGACTTGTTTAGTACTGAAGAATTAGGACCAGCTAGTTCCGCGGTGTTTTACGCAATTAAAGTTTTAATGCCGACCCAACCCAATACAAATGTATATGCAGCCGAAATCACTGTTCCAAATCATAATCAAAATGTCAGTATTTTTCTCAGGGTGTACGTGTCTTTTGTCTATAATGTTTGTACCACACGAACTGCAGATAACCGTAGGTTTCGTTATATTACGGATGTCTTGTTCATACCTTTTTCTGTAAACGTATTATAAAGGAAACTTTAGACTGGTTCTATTCATTTTGAATAGCCGAAATGCGTAAGATTACATGGTAAAAGAAAAGTGTGTAACGTCTCGTTTAATTTCAATAGATGTAAGAAGATGTGGTATGAGTGCCAATGAGACAACTCTCCATCCAAGTCAAAATTTATAAAAGTAAACCATTATAGGTCTCAACACGGAGCCTTGGCTCACACCGAACGGTAAACTATAAAGAGCCCCAAAAATTACTAGTGTAAAACCATTCAAATGGGAAAACCAATGTTCATTTTTGTACAAACCACAAGAATGCAAGGTTTTCACAGAATTGAGTTCATTCCATCATATCACAAAGTACACAATACGATTGTCCTTTAACTTTATTTAAAATCTAATGTTTCTATCGTTATATACTGTACAATGTTCAGAGATTTTGTTTTTATTTTTCATGATAAGTTGATTCAAAGGTCTAAAACATTAAGACATCTTTGCGTGTTTTTATTTTTTTCAAATTGTACTATAAATAAGGTTTCCATTCTTTAGAATGACACTTTTGAAGCAAAGCATAGTACATGTACTTGATATTTACTTAAAAAAAATTAAAATGATGCATTTTAATTCAATGATAAAAATTGAAAATTTTTACAATTTCCGTACATTTAATCTTTCTTCTAACTGTCTCCGTTGTACTTCCGTGCAACGTGGTAGCTGTAAACAGAAACAATGGGAAATGGAAATATTTTTTTTTTCAAAAAGCACAACAAATAGTACATGTATCCAATGATTTATAATCAACCCACAGTACATTCTGTATTATGTTTGTAAAATACTAGCTACTGTGTAGTACTATTTTCAAAAAAACATTCATTTGCTATTTTCATTTTTAGAAATAACCTGCTCTTGTGTATTAAAGTTCAACTTGACTTTATTAAACGTTACCGAATGCAACATGTCATCGAATGTGTACTTGCATTTTCCATTAGAAACACGAAGGATGTTATTATCCTACATGGGCACTTGAGATCAACTTCGAGTTGCTAAACTGTTGTTTGTCTTTTTGCTGTTTTTGATTTTGGTCATGGTATTGTCTTTTTTTCTTGGAATTATGATTTATATTGTTCCGTTGCTATCTTCTGTCCACTTTTAACTGTGACTCATGCCAAAAGATTCAAGTTTATACATGTATTTATTTACCTTCGGTGTTTACTACTGAGCGTTGATATTTGGTCAAGCTGACAAACTAAAGTATATTAGTCAAAGGTGCGGTATAACCCTTTTTAAAATTGTTTTTAAAAATGCTATTAGATAGACACCAAAAATCATATAGTTTGTACTTCATGCACAGGGCCATATTCGGGGGAATAATCTGAAATGTTCATTCTCGTAAGTGGTGTTTCCCAAATAATATGGGTTGCAATTATGTCCCCGGGGTCAATCTGTTAACCATTATGTTGTTGTTATTTTATTTTATCATTGAGTACCGTTATTCCACTTATATTTGTTTATTCTTTAGGCAAATTCTATTTACAAAATATGATAAATTTTAATTCATTCAACCTTATATATGAAAATGTTGCATTTAAGTAGTTAACACATGACATAGGCAAAATCTCTTTGTTCTTACTTTTGCTATAATCTGGATAATGCACGGCTAAGGTGTGATTTTACTACCTCAGATATACTGCGAAGTTCAAATGTACTCTTAACGTTAAGGGAGGATCCAGGATTTTTCAAAGGCATAGGGGGAGTAATTCCATATAAAAGTTTTGGCGATTTTAGGATTAAACACTAAATATTTCCCAATCAAAGGGGGCGCACGCCCTCTTCGACCCCTTTGAATCCGCCTATGACCTTGCAATTACGGCAAAGTTGATCAATTAACAACTCTGAATATTTTTTGTCGTTTTTAATTATGAAATAGAAAGTGCATTTCATTCCTTAGAACTCTTTATGATAGTATGTGTACAATTTAAATCTTAAATTAGTGGTTCAAAGTCAAACAAGATTTGTTTTTGTAATTTCTTAAAATATCCAAATAGCTAAAACTTGATTTGGATAATTTTTGTTTTCAGCGGAATTTATTGAGACTTTTTGAATATTAATTTCTTTTAAGTGACTAGTTTGGGATCGAATTTAATGAGGTTCATATTCAAGTATATGCCAACACATCAAATAAACAAATACTAGTAACTTAGAGATCAATCATACTTCTTTTAAATGGAACATGTCCTCAGAATGAATGAAGATGAAAAATTATGGGGGGGGGGAGTTAAAGATTGAAAAGTGAAACGTGTTTTGTTTTGTTTATTTTGCACTATAAATTTAAGTACATCTCTCTTCGATTAATCTTCCTCTGATCATATTCTTGAGGGAAAGAGAAGCAATTAATCTTATACTCAATAACCCTTGCATTTATGATTTGTCATACACTGACCAAACGTACTTAAACTGTAGGAGATGATTGTTGTACGCCAATAAGACAGCAAACAAACGACAAATTAAATACCAACTAAGCACATCTAGAGGGAAACATATAGTGTTCTTTACCCTACAAGAAAACTTTAACAGGAGCCGTGGATTGAATATCGCCCGAATATTTCCAAAACGGTCATGTTAATTGATGGCTTCATGTATTAAAACAGTTATTGACCAATTAAATCGGTATTATATCATTTTATCTGCACGGTCAAGATGACCTTTTAACCCGAACTCCTACGATGTTCGGGTCAAGTAGGGTCACCCGAGCCGTGCAGATGAAATGACATATATCGTCTTGCTTGGTCAATAACTTTTTACACAAAAATAACTGCCTTGATTCAAACAACTGTATCATTAAAAAAATCAAATTTAAATAGGCGGAAGATATCAAAGAGACATTCAAAATTTTCAAAAGGTCAAAGAGAAACCGGCAGTCAAAACACTCGGGTGCTTCGGAAGGGTAAGCATGATTATCCTACTCCACATGTGGCAACATTCGTGTTGTTCATAGTCAGTACAAATTAGGACTGTGATAAGTCTCATTCGCTGAAGTCAAAATCGAGGAAAAAAGGACGGCATTGTAGTTACGACAATTTGAACATGTACATGTAATTAAGTGATTTCTGTTGACGTTTTGATTTGATAATTATGCTTGTCATGCCTATCGTGTTTAAAGAAGATACTGTTAGACAAAACACTTTACGGACTAAATACTTGTTAGTTGCTGTCTCTCCTGGTTTAAAGCGATCAAGCAAAGCACAATCTAAGCAAAGGATAGGGTATTTTAACATAAAAAATAAGGATCGTTTTCGTTCGGCTGTCGATACATTCAGCAAACAATCGCTATAAAAAGGTTTCTTGTGAAGTTTTTGGCAAATATCCATCTCGCGCAAATTTCATCAGTTTGATTGCCTCAAATCGTAAGAAACCAAACTCCTCTCGAAGAATGTTTTCATCCAGTTCTTTGATAAGAGATCCATCAATGAGAGCATCGGAAAGACTTTCTTCGTGTTTTCCTAGGTTCAAAACATGTAAATACTGTCCTAATTCTTGAACTGACAAACTCTCCACGTCAGGTGGGCAAGATATTGTATTTACGATATTTATCTTCCGCGAAGTCTTATCCAGTTTCTTCTTTATTTCGTAGTCACAATTTGTGCTTTCTGACGTTGGTGTATTTTGATACTCCCTGTTTTCAAATGCAAAATCATTCGTAATGTTTGTTGCCAGAGTTTGTAAGTCAACAGAGTCTGATTTAACAATAACGGTACTATGCTTATTTAAATTTTCATATGGAAAACTTGAGATTTCAGTTTTGTCACAGTCCTCTGAAGACACTATTGTTCGGTTTGAAATACTTATTTTATCTAAATTTTCATATGGAAGATTTGTAGTTTCAGTAATGTCACTGTCCTCTGTTGACACTTTTGTTCTGTTAGATATATTAAGCTGTTCGGACTTCACACTATCAGCTGGGATTTCCTCATAGAAATGTTCATCTTGGATGGAAGACTTAGTTGATACATAAGTTGGGTCTTTCTTCCTATTAGTTGTCAAATCAGATGTATTGGTCTCAATAAAATCATATTCCATTGGAGCTGTAGGATGATGTAGAGAACGTCAGAAAATCTAAACAAAAAGGATAATACTTTAATCAAAACATGATATTTTAAACCAGATAGATATAAATTGCTTACGAGCAGATTGTTAATAATTGAAATAATAGTCTAAAATTTCATTTAAATTGAGAAATGTTTTTTTCTTCATGTTTTTTTTTTTAAGTAGCAACAATGAATCTATTTAATTCACCCACGAATACTGGTGAAGTTATATTTTATCTCAGGAAAACATCTTAATTTGCTTTGTTTATATACTATGCCTCGATAGAGCAAATTCAATAAATTGCACTCAATTGGTAGTCAATATTTCGGCATCGGCACCTCTTTCTTGTGTTCATTTTCAAGGGATTCTCTACGGACTTAACTTATACAAATAGGAAGCTGACTGTCAATTATTGAACAGTGACCCAATTTTTCCAATTAGCAGTACAACGAAATGACATGGCAGGACTCAAAGCCTTAATGACAGAAAAGTCTTCAACTGGAGTAGTTAGAGTGACATCAAACAAAAAAAATATACAAAGAGTATATGAGTATCTAATTAGTCAAAAGCAAAGGAAAAATATGTTTTGTTATATAAGGTAGTCAGTCAGTGGTAATACTTTAAGAGCATATGATACAGTTACAGGGGAGGTCATGAAGTTTTAACATAAAATATTATTCCTCCTGTATGATAAGAATTAGAAAATTGATCGTTGTTATGCAGAACTTTACCTTAACTAACTTTTTGTTGAAATTCATGATCAGAGATAAACATAAATGTGTACTGTAAATTACTGTAAATGGTAGCGTGAGCCCTGCTGTAATATTTGTAAATGTATTGTAGACATATCTTCATGATATAAACCAAATTGTTTTGATAGTTATACAACTTTATATGAACCTTGAATTTTTTTAGATATCAATTTTTTTAAGTTTGTGTAATAATTTATCGTTGATTGGAAGACCATTACTTACTGGATGAGATGCATTAGAGTTTTTAATGCATACATAATCCAGTGAAGTAATTTATCCGGCTATAACCCAAATTTTGTTCATAAAGATAGACTGTATGAACATAGTATGATAAATTTTGACTGTACACTTTCTTGAAAAAAAGTTCAACTTGAGATAAGAGTTTTAAAATATGTTGAATTAACAGTTCTATAAATCTTAGTCTTTTCTGTTTTTTTATATATATATTTTGGTGGATTTTTTTTATTGCTTGTACAGGCAATTAGAACAAGTATAAAGAAATTTTTGGAAAATAGCTTAACAATTATAAAAAAGCTGCAGGAACAATTGTAGTCTTTTCTCTCAGGTGTTTATATTAGTAAAAAGACATCCAAGGTTATTTAGAAATATTATTGCTGTTGAAACTTTAAAAAGCTATCTATAGATAACATACTTTCATCTATTTGTACAGAAGTATCAAAATACTGTATATTCAAAAAGTAAAATTTTGAATGAGATGTCTGGCATAATTATACTCCTACCTCTGTGGATGGGAAAGAAGGAGATCTCCATCTTTAAAAGATTGAACATGGGATAAAATGATATCAGAAAGACTTATACAAGTTACGGCAAATATATTCAAACAAACAGTATTTTGATGTCTTCAATCATGACTATTTGATGTTTACATTGATGATACATGTATTCAGGTATTGGTCAGGTCAATGTTTGTGCTGAACATAGTTAATGAAATTTTACACATATTCATTATGATCTACATTTTGCAAATAATTGTATAATAAACCAAATTAGGAATTTGTCATGTTGAAGTCCAAAGCAAAATGTCTTAATATGTTTTTAAAAATTTATATTATTAGCAAGGCCTTTGCAAATTCTATTCAGTGAAATTATTTAACCTAGTTACTACAAACAGTATTTCTAACTGAGAAAAACATGTAATTTATTTGGCATCTTTATTTAATTATATATGTACAAACAAACGTAAGAACAGATATCCATTGAAAATAAAATAAATGTATTAGATCACATGAACATTGTTGTTTCACTTCTATCAAGAAATATGTTTAGTCATGTTAATTCCCTAAATCAACTCGGTAACACACAAAAAAAAAACAATTATAACTTGCACATCACCACATAATACTGGATAATCAAATGGAGTGGAAAAAGAGGGGCACTTACTGTGCTGATTATGTGTGGTAGTGATGGTAAGTCTATTTTTTGTCAAATTTATTCGGAATGTAAAAATCTCTTGGACGGCCGGTGACCCCTATATTTAGCCTTTTTGCACTCATTTTTAGAGGTCAAAAAATCTCTTGGATGGCCGGTGACCCCCAAAGTTTATTCCAATATCATAAAATAGAGACATCAAGCTTTTCAGTCTGAAAAAATGAGCAACTTCTGTCATTTTGTTTGCTGTGAAAATTCAATCAAAGAGGTTTTTATGTCCATTTTCCCTATATTTAGCCTTTTTGCACTCATTTTTAGAGTTCAAAAAATCTCTTGGATGGCCGGTGACCCCCAAATTTTATTCCAATATCATAAAATAGGGACATCAAGCTTTTCAGTATGAAAAAATGAGCAACTTTTGTCATTTTGTTTGCTGAGAAAATTCAATCAAAGAGGTTTTATGTCCATTTTCCCTATATTTAGCCTTTTTGCACTCATTTTAAGAGGTCAAAAAATCTCTTGGATGGCCGATGACCCCCACATTTTTATTCCAATTTCATAAAATAGAGACATCAAACTTTTTAGTATGAAAAAATGAGCAACTTCTGTCATTTTGTTTGCTGTGAAAATTCAATCAAAGAGGTTTTTATGTCCATTTTCCCTAAATTTAGCCTTTTTGCACTCATTTTTAGAGGTCTAAAAGATCTCTTGGATGGCCTGTGACCCCCAAATTTTATTCCAATTTCATAAAAAAGACACATCAAGCTTTTCAGTATGAAAAAATTAGCAACTTTTGTCATTTTGTTTGCTGTGAAAATTCAATCAAAGAGGTTTTATGTCCATTTTCCCTATATTTAGCCTTTTTGCACTCATTTTTAGAGGTCAAAAAATCTCTTGGATGGCCGGTGACCCCCAAATTTTATTCCAATATCATAAAATAGGGACATCAAGCTTTTCAGTATGAAAAAATGAGCAACTTTTGTCATTTTGTTTGCTGAGAAAATTCAATCAAAGAGGTTTTATGTCCATTTTCCCTATATTTAGCCTTTTTGCACTCATTTTAAGAGGTCAAAAAATCTCTTGGATGGCCGATGACCCCCAAATTTTTATTCCAATTTCATAAAATAGAGACATCAAACTTTTTAGTATGAAAAAATGAGCAACTTCTGTCATTTTGTTTGCTGTGAAAATTCAATCAAAGAGGTTTTTATGTCCATTTTACCTATATTTAGCCTTTTTGCACTCATTTTTAGAGGTCAAAAAATCTCTTGGATGGCCGGTGACCCCCAAAGTTTATTCAAATTTCATAAAATAGTGACATCAAGCTTTTCAGTATGAACAAATTAGCAACTTTTGTCATTTTGATTGCTGTGAAAATTCAATCAAAGAGGTTTTATGTCCATTTTGCCTATATTTAGCCTTTTTGCACTCATTTTTAGAGGTCAAAAAATCTCTTGGATGGCCGGTGACCCCCAAAGTTTATTCCAATTTCATAAAATAGAGACATCAAGCTTTTCAGTATGAAAAAAATAGCAACTTCTGTCATTTTGTTTGCTGTGAAAATTCAATCAAAGAGGTTTTTATGTCCATTTTCCCTATATTTAGCTTTTTTGCACTCATTTTTTGAGGTCAAAAAATCTCTTGGATGGCCTGTGACCCCCAAATTGTATTCCAATTTCATAAAATACAGACAATAAGCTTTTCAGTATGAAAAAATAAGCAACTTTTGTCATTTTGTTTTCTGTGAAAATTCAATCGAAGAGGTTTTATGTCCATTTTCCCTATATTTAGCCTTTTTGCACTCATTTTTAGAGGTCAAAAAAACTCTTGGATGGCCGGTGACCCCCAAATTTTATTCCAATTTCATAAAATAGGAACATCAAGCTTTTCAGTATGAAAAAATGAGCAACTTCTGTCATTTTGTTTGCTGTGAAAATTCAATCAAAGAGGTTTTATGTCCATTTTCCCTATATTTAGCCTTTTTGCACTCATTTTTAGTGGTCAAAAAATCTCTTGGATGGCCGGTGACCCCCAAATTTTATTCCAATTTCATAAAATAGAGACATCAAACTTTTCAGTATGAAAAAATGAGCAACTTCTGTCATTTTGTTTGCTGTGAAAATTCAATCAAAGAGGTTTTATGTCCATTTTCCCTATATATCCATATAGCCTATTTGCAATCATTTTCAGAGGTCAAAAAATCTCTTAGATGGCCGGTGACCCCCATTTTTTTTTTGGATTTTTTCAATAACCATGCTACAAAATTTAAGTTCACAAAGTATAACAAAATTCTGTCATTTTTTTTCTATACCCCTGAACTACCTTAAACGTCATTAAGTGTGTCTCTGTTCCCTAAAAGTTCAGAAAATTAAATATTTATTAATAATGAATTACTTATGCCAGGAAGTTTTGTAATGATTACAGCGGTTCCGGTTCATCGGATATAATATAGGAAACCTGGTATATTTTGTATAAACAATTAATATTTAATTTTAAAATTAAAAAAAAAAATCAGGTGCTAGTAGTTTCGTGTTTGCGAGCTCGTATTGAGTACGGGAGGTCATAAGTTCGTTCCTCTGCTACATGTGTGAAACTAAATAACTTATAATTAATATTGCCTGCTTCTTTGCCAAGCATTAATAGACTGGTCGGTTTATAATCAGAATACTAGTAATAAAGATGAGTTGGATGTTTACTGTACCTTGAAAATTCTCTTTCCTTCACAGTATTTTTCAACATTTACTTAATTAAAAGCTTACCATTTCCGCCCATTTGGCTTTGTATGGTTGTCTGCTGTATACGTCATGGAATGTAGAATAGACGCCCAGTAGTCTTGGTTACCATTTTCTAACCCTCTTATGACAGACAACGCCAAGCCGGTCATGTGATAGGGTATGGAAACAACGTTTCGATATAACTGTCCTGAAAAATAATTAACCCTAGTATGCATATACAATAGATAGGTATGTTTTATGTTGTGTTTTTATATTTCATGTCAAAATGCCAGATTTTGATTGGTTGATACGATGGAGAGTCAGACAATTTACTTTATTATACTTCACGTTAAAATGCCATATTTTAATTGGCTAATACGAGGGTGTTAATTTACTCTATTACCCTTCATGGAGACGCTTGATCCAGTGTGCGCTTTATTTAATATAGATGGTTGTTATGTACAAGATGACATAGTTTATTACTTTGAGTTTGAGAATTTAATAGACAGTAATAACAGAACATTCAGTGTAATAAACTAGATAACAAATATCTGATAGGATGATAGAGCAGATTGTTACCCCTCGAAAAGACATTGTCAACATTGGCTTCGCCTCAGTTGACAATGTTTTCTCGAAGTAACAATCTGCTCTATCACCCTCTCAGCTATGTGTTATTTATATACTATAACACCTCTATGACGTGTTAAGGGATTTGTGGGCTTCCGAAAACATGGTTAACACCGACACTCAGTATGTGAGCCTCTAATTGATTATTTAGTGGTGGTCATTCGTTGGTGTTTATCACATTTGTTTTTTATAAATTTTTAAAAAGTCGTAAAGTAAATTTCAGATTTTTATTGGGTTGGTATGTTTTGTTAATTTATGAATTATATCATGGTTTGAAAAAATGAAACTTGAGCCAGCATACCGTCTTCTTTTCGTCTTGAATATGCACTAAACATTTGAAACACGATGTTAAGCAAGCACCACACCAATCAATTTATTTTCATTAAATATAAAGGACAAATATGGAAAATGATTAATAATTGATGTTTTATTATATGAGACGACAGCTTGTTTTATGTAAACGAGAGGCAAATATACCAAAGGGACATTCAAACTCACAAGTCGAAAATAAACTGACAACGCAGTGGCTAAAAAAAGAGAAAATACAAACAACAGTTCACAAAACACAACTTAGAAAACTAAGGATTGAGCAACACAAATCCCATCAAACACTGTGATGATCTTCCCGCCCTGCATTCATAGACTACCCTCTTCGAAGTATACCTTTAAAATTAATAATTTGAAGCCGCCCACACCCGCCTCAATGGTCTCGTGTTAGCGTTGTCGCCTCGGTGCGGAAGGTCGTGGTTTCGATCCCCGCCGGTTAAAACCAATGACGGAAGTTGGTATTTGCTTCTTCTCCGCTCTGGTCGGCTCGGAGTAAAAATAATCTGCCCGGGTAAGGTGACATGTCTTCCTGCAGACTGCTACTTTTTGAAATAGCACTTTAAATAATCCGGCTCAGCATGTCGGTCTAGTACAAAGCAGGGTCTATTTTCATATCAAATTATCGTGTTCTCGTCCTGAATATGCATTGATACACATATGCTTTGCTATTAGACGCTAAACAGTCTTCCATCATCATATTGCCGTCCTGAATTTGATTAAATATTTAGGTATTGGACAGTCATGAAACAACAGATAATCAATTAACCCTTTATTGATATTCATTTCTGTTATATTTGTCAGGTTGTATTTCAAGAATCCTGTTCGTCAGCACTTTCCTTCTTGACAATTTTTACTTTAAGTTTTAATTAACAAACCTTTATTTACTGGGTTTCCATACATGTATTTCAAATCGCTTTCTTGTATCAACTTAAGTCTTATGTCTCCGGTTAAACGTGCGTTACGACCTTTTAATGTTATTTCCGGTTCCTCTGCGGTGTCACACTTGACCTCAACTGGTAGTTTATGTTTAGCAATAACTTCATGAAACAATGCTGAACATTTCACTGAAATTGATATGAACAGATTAGAACAACCTCAGTGGTCGACTGGCAGCGTGATCGCCTAGTAGCGTGGTCGCCTGGTTGCGTGGATATTGGATACACCTAGCTGGCTTTGCAAAACCAAAGACTTTGACAGTTGACGATTCACCGCTAAGCTTGCGACATTCAGGAGAAACAACGAAAACTGGTTGGATCGGAGCAATATTATTTATGTATAAATATTAATTTTTATGTGTACGGAAAAAATGAGATACGTTTTACAGACTCTTTAACAATAATGTAAAAATAAATGGATAACGTGTCCATTGGACACAGATGATTACCCCGGTTGCACATAACGTTATCAAGATACATAACTAGAGAACTGTAAAATTGAAGCCATCCAAATTAGAACTTGATCTGTGTTTTATGGTAATAAGCATTGTGTATACGTAGTTTCATAACATTTGGTTGAGGCAAACTAATTTAAAAGTTAGAGAACGGAAACCAATTTTGGACGTACATACGTACAAATGGACGGACGGACAAAGGTAACGCTTAATGCTCCCTTCTCCTAGCGGCGGGGGCATAAAAAACGCAAGTTAAAAATCAGATTCAGCGTTTGGATATAGTTTAAAGCAAGTTCTTCTCCATATTATATTTGCCGCTTCACGTCCACCCATCCCTCCATCTATTGTAAATGTACATTTTTTTGTTTTTTTTTTTATCTTGAGTGAGGTTCAACACTTTGGTACTTAAGGATGCTTGCTCTTCCTTTTTCAAATAACAAGTTTTTTTTAAAAGACTGCTATAAAATGCATAGTGGTTAGATATTGGAACTTAAAAAGTAGAAAATAATGAAAGGACCGTGTCCTTGTTTTTGAGATATATAAGCAATTGGGAATTTGGCGGGAAATGATTCTCTCTAGATTTTCCATATATTTAACATTGACACCTTTCTTCTTTCAAAAACTGTGATAAAAACTGTGACTATTACACTAGTTAGTATAATAGTCCCAGATAAAAAAAAAGGAATTAATAATATTTTCAAAAATGTTATTTTAAACTATATGTAATAAAACTATTAAAAGAAAATTAGGGGTTAGTCGGCAAAACTTTTAATGACACTACATGGATAAAACAAGAGGATTTCGAATAGTCACATGACAAAAATTCAAAAACAAGAGTAGCGAACATCCTTGATCTCTACATTTATATTTTGATTTCTTTTGAATTTCTATAATCATTCAAATCTCATGAAGTAAAAGAAAAAAATATTATATTCACATCATTACTAATACCAAATGCAAACTTGACCGGTGTATAGAAAAAACAGTATCCTGAATACAAGTACTGCTCTTGGTTCTCAAAAGAGGCCGTGCTGATAGGGCTTCCTTTTGTGTGTTTGGGATGCATAAAGCACAGCAGTATCCGCCTGAGGATTCGCTTACTTATTGCAAGGGAAAATGTATGCCTTTTCCAAACATACCCCTTGTTTTAAGTGACAGTACAAATTTCCTTCCAATCATATTGGTCAACCAACTTTGTAGAATCTATCTTATGGATTTATATTTGTATCTGTACGGGTACTAAATAAGGATGAAATTTTCGCCACTATACGTTTAGCAAGCAACAAACCTGCATGCAGTTAATATAATATTTCGAAAGACTGATTTACATGTAAACAGTGTACATTTGAAACCATGTTTTCACAAAATGAACAAACCGGTTTGATTGCCAGTCATAATTACTAATCTATTTTGTATGAACTTGTTTTATTTGTATTTTTTTCCACGCTTTCACAGACATTTTGTTTTTGTAGATTGTAACGATTATCGTAGATCATCAGAAAAATATTTGTCATGAACATGCATACAATATTTGCCTTTGAACTTTAAGCAAGTCACAACCAAGCAATCAGACAAAAATACATTAAGTAAATATATAAAAAAAAAATTGATTATGGTTTTTCCTTTAACTTTTAACTGAGATTAAAAGAAGAATAATATCTACCGATATAATGAAACCATCGATTTAAAAAAAGGAATACTAACATTATTTAAACAAGTCATGTTAAATGATATTTAAGGGTCAATCACGATACCCATTCGACACATAGAACGTATATATTTAACAAAATACCGTAATATATACAAAAGATAAACGTTTTCATTACCTGGATTATTTCTTTTGATACGATACACTGGTATGTTACAATCTTGAGGGATACTGACTGAAATATCTCCATATCCAAAACATCTGTTGGGATCTTTTTTAACTATTGCTAATATTCTGGTTTGTTTGTATACACCATGAATTCTAAGTACCTGTATGAATACAATAAAAAATGAATTCATAACTTGATGTCGGTTGACTTTGAAGGTTATACATTTTATCTTTAGAGAAGGCAGATGTTCTGGTGATTTACAAACTCTAGCAACAAGTAAAACACAATCTAAGAACGTATTCAGAAGAAATGGGTATGACTTGTATCCAAGTTTAATGTCTTTTCGAACTTATTTTTCTGTACTAGTTGCGGCAATTTAACCCGATCAAGGTACAACAATCGGTGTACATGTACTTTGAATGACAATAAATTCACACCATAAAAATTATTCCAATATGTCCAATACGACACTACCTCGTTGGTCTAGTGTAGCTTGCTCTCCTTGGTTGCTAATGATTAACAATGTGTATTTTTGCTGTCTCCGCTGAGAATGTTACATTAAGGAGTAATACATGTAGAAAGTACTGGGTGGCTTGCAGTAAGAATAATAACTCCTGGTTTGAGGACGTTTTCATGCGTACTATTTCTTTGTGTAAAAGTCCTTCTGGGCGTGTTAGGATTGTACATAGCAGGGTTCATATTCACATGTAACATGACGTTATAGCGTGTAGTGTTGGTCACTGAATGAAGAGTATATCTTATCAGACACCAAGCAATCCAATTGAACAATGAGACAGTTACTTACGTCTACACCTTCATGTTTTATTTTAATTTATTATTTTGTTTTTTTTTTGTTTTTTTTGTTTTTGGTGTTTTATATTGTTTTTTTTGTTATTGTATACATATTTTTCTCTCGGAACATGTGATAAAACAGTTACTGTCTTTTGTTTCGGTTAATATGTGGTTAAATTTGACTTTTGAAAAACAAAGTGACATTCACTTCGGCCGTTGACCTCAGTGAATATCAGTTACTCAAAAGTCAACTGAAGTTAAACCACATATTTACCTCATCAAAATACAGTAATTGTATATAATCATTTATGTTTCAATTATAACATTAGATATTTCGGAATATTTAGTGTTAATAAAACAGTATCTGCATGAAGGGCATAAGTCGGTTTTGTTTAAGGCAGTTTCTAAATTTTTTTTTTTAAATATCACCGAATAGTTATCTCAATCGCCTTTCCTCGAATGAATGCGGCGAGGAGTAAAAAAATATAACGCGGTCATTTCAACATAGGTATTCTCAACTGGAATGCATTTTTCTCATTGTTGAGGGCCGTACAATGACCTGTAGTTGTTCAAATCACTTGGTTTTTGGTGAATTGTTGTCTCTCGGGAAATCACATCACATCTCTTTATATTCATATTGTATAATTTTGTATAATTTGAATCCTAACATCTCCCATACTCAATAATTTTTGAAAGCTACAATGTATATATTCAAGACGATACTTTTAAAATGAAACGAGTTCATGTATGTACAGATATCTTTTTACAAGACATAGCGCGAATAAACTCTATTGTAAAGTATCCTCGATGATTGATTTTGTAGTAGACACATGGTCTTCCATGGTTACAATTCGACTTCAACTTTGAATTTGAGTCTCATTTAGATTAAGATTTGAAGTTGAAATTCGAGTTATCTATTATGAGTTCTATTTAACTTTATTATCGCGGATCAAGGGCTTTTGCTCGAGCTTCCGAAAAGAGGGCTCATGAGTGGGTATGCGTACAAAAGATAAACAATGTTAGAGCATACAAAACACAGCATAGAAATTGAAATAAAGTTAAATGTGATGTGATTGCCAATAAGAAAATTATCCAACAGAGTTTAAATGCAGGGGATGTGACACAATAATAAAATAAAATTTATTAATGTAAGCAATCATAGGCAACCGTACAGCCTTCAACACACTGTATAGTCGGCTACAAAAGACCACCCCGTGGCAATGTAAAGCAATTCAAACGAGAAAACTAACGTATGTATTTGCATTCAGGTATCACAGATCAACTTTATTCGTTCACTGTGTGTTAATTTGCGTTATTTGATTGAGTTAAGCCTTCCAATTGATATTTTATAGTGTGTCTTTCTATGATGTGATGTTATACTATTGTTTCAGAAAAGGGGGAAGGTTTGGTACCATTAAAACGTTTAATCCCGCTGCAAATGTTTGCACCTGTCCTAATTCAGGAATCTGATGTACAGTAGTTGTCGTCTGTTTATGTAGTTCATACGTGTTTCTCGTTTCTCGTTTTTATATAGATTAGACCGTTGGTTTTCCGGTTAAAATGGTTTTACACTAGTAAATTTCGAGGCCCTTTATAGCTTGCTGTTCGGTGTGAACCAAGGCTCCGTGTTCAAGGCCGTACCTTGACCTATAATGGTTTACCTTTTATAAATTGTTACTTGGATGGAGAGTTGTCTCATTGGCACTCATACCACATCTTCCTATATCTATTAACGGTCTAATTTATAACTAAACAATCTACGAAAAACAAATACGACACACATGAAACAACAACAACCATTGAACTACAGGCTCCTGACTTGGGGCAGGCATACGGTATAAAGAAAGTGCGGAGTTTAACATGTATGTAAGCGCTAAACCCTAACCTAACCTCGGACTGTGGTGGTACTGTAACAGCACAATATAAGAAGAAAGTAAAGACAGTTTTGATTGGCTCAACTCAATAGTAATATAAATCCATCGGGTGCTCTCGGGTGCTTTGGAAGGGTAAGCGGATTCTGCTCAACTTGTGGCACCCGTCGTACTATTCGTGAAAGTACAAACCCAGTGATTTGGTTTTATTTGGTAGTTCACATTCGAGGAAAAGATGACGGCATACTGGTTACGACAACTGGAACATATCCGTCGTCACCTGTGACACATATATTCCAAAAAGTTTTTTTTTCAATTAGTGCGTGGTATATCAGATAAATTATGCAATTAATAAAAAAAAAGTTTGATATTCATATATGTTCAAATGATCATACACGCTAAAAAAAAAGGGAGAATTCTTATTTTATAGAATTGATGCTTTGTCGCTAAGTCCGCCTAAGATCGTTAGGTTTCTCGTTTAAATTGTTTTTATATTTTTCATTTCGGGACCTTTTTAAGCTTACTATGTGGTACGGGTTTTGCTAATTGTTGAATACCATACAGTCACATATAGTTATTAACTTCTACGTCATTTGATATGTGGTTGAGAGTTGACAATCATACCTCCTTTTTTTTTTTATTTTTCCTCTTTTTCATACCAAATAACTCTGAACAACAACTTACACTTTAATTTGAACTTTTACTTAATGGATAGCGGTACTTATCCATAGCGCATTACACAAACGACATATGGAAATCGGTCTAAAAATAGAACATATTTTTTTTCCGAAATGGTCACGTGGTTTTACCTGATCAAGTAATTGGATAACCACATAAAAAAAAATGACAGGACCACATCAAAGACTGAAACAAACACATCATGTAGTGTAAAATAGTCAAATTTTGAAACATCATTACGTAATTTTTAAGTCATATAAAGAATTAACAAAACCATATCATGTCACTGAATGTGAGACAATAAAAACAATCGTACCGACACCATAAACAGCACATCTAAGTTGTTTACTTTTGTATATTTTACAATGATTAATTAAATGAAAGTTCTTCCTCTAAATATATATGTTTGGCGGCATTCTTTTCGTGATATGGATGCTTAACTTTTGAAATCTTCCTTGTAATACAGTAAGTACGGTATTTTTCTTCTGACTACATGTAAACAGATAAGAAGAAAGATAGATAAGATACTTGACATGTAACTAGTAAGCTCGGTCACCGTCTGTTTTAAATGAAATATTTGTCATTGAACGTAAAACATACCAAAATCAAGCAATCGGTCTAAGTCCAATCTAAGTTTCACGTTCTTTAGTAAAATCGAAATATTTTTCTTTCTAATTTTGTGAAATAGATTTTCAGTCCATTGATTATCTTTGTATATATAACAATTAGAAGATGTTGTATAATTGCCAATGAGACAACTCTCCACAAGAGACCAAATAACATAGAAGTTAACAACTATAGGTCAACGTACGGCCTTCAACAATGAGCAAAACCCATACCACATATAAAAGCATCAGCTATAAATGCCCCGAAATGACGAAACGATATGTAGACAGCTCTCTAACAAGTCAAAGACCCTAACTGTAAAATATAAGGGATACACTACAGGCACGGGGACACATTCTACTACATCTACACAGCACGAGTAACAAATCCCTGTATCGTTTTGTTTCATTACATCTCTTTATTTGTAAACATAAATGGAGATAGATTGTGCGCGAATAAATACCTGTCCTGTATCTAAGGTATCATTTCAAGTTTCTCCTTGGTAACCATGTTTAACCATGACCAACTGTGGCATATCATTCTGATATTTGTCGATAAAACTTCCAACAGAATATTCAATGTCAGGTTGTTTCATAAAACATTGTTACAACTTCCGGGTTTTATTTTCACAAATGACATGTCGTAATACATATTAAAGTGTCCTTAAAATAGCATACCTTCAAGATATCAGTGAAGTATATACATGATTACGTAACAAACAATAAATCTATCTTTTAAAATCATGGGTATTTAAACTTTTATTTTGATTCCACAAGGACATATCATAATTTTCAATTGTGATAAATAATGGGAAATGGGATAATTGTCTACGATACCAGAACCAATTAAAACGAGATTTTGAAACATATATCTGTGGTACATTATGACAATTTTTTTCAAAATGTTTGGGGGTCGTGTCCGCAGCCAGGATGTCTCTGGGTGATATTTTCGGCCACGACGCTCTGACTATGACATGGCCGCAGCAAGGATGTCTCTGGGGGATATTTTCGGCCACGACGCTATGACTATGACATGGCATCAGCCGGGATGTATCTTGGAAATATTTTAGGCCACGACGATCTGACTATGACATGGCCGCAGCCAAGATGTCTCTTGGGGATATTTTCGGCAATAACGCACTGACTATGATATGGCCGCAGCCAGGATGTCTCCGGGGGGTATTTTCGATCACGACGCTCTGACTATGACAGTAAAACTCCAATCCTAATTTCGAGTTTAATTGGCGGTTTAAAAAAAATCAGAAGGGGTTGGTCCGACTCCCTCCGCCCCCCCCCCCCCCCCTGTTTTGTCTAATTGGTTTATATGCTCAACCCATCATCTCCATTCTATATATAATATATGTGTTTGTGTGTTACTAAACTTTGAACATACGCAAAGGAAAGATGTGGATGAAAGCAACTATGATAGGTAACCGTACTATGGAACGCCGTAACTGTCTTACAGTGTAAAGATAATGTGTTTTGTCGCTTTGTCTTTACGTCCTGTCATTTCTTCTTCATGTTATGTGTAAGTGCCTTTATTTCCTGACACAGCATCTCTGTGTTATGTCAAATTAGTTATTTGTTTTGTCAAACAATTGTATGATATGTCATTGCTATTCATTGTTATGTGCAATATGCATTACATTATGTTGTAACCAGGGATGGGCACGATTACTGACAAATGTAATCGATTAATAATCGATTACTTGGAGGATTTTTGTGTATTCGATTAATAATCGATTACTTTGATTTTTGTATGTAATCGATTGCAATCGATTACTTTATAAAAATTAATTACATTACTTTTCGATTACTGTCAATTACATGCTACAAAATTAAAAAAGAATAATAAAGAAAGTTAAACATAAATATTGTTCAACGTATGTATAGTGGAAATTTGGAACTTTATAAAAACAGCATTTAAAGCATTGTGTTTCAAATTTTAAGTTGACAGTTATTTTCTAGATGGAAGCTCTTACTGAGGATCCGAAATATTCAAAAATTCTTCAAATTTTAGTTTTCAACATGAGTGAGTGGTGATAAAGTTCTTGCAATGACATCACATGCATATGGCTTCAGTCATTTCTTTATATTTTAGGTTATTTTCTCCATATTTTGCAAATTTTTACTGTCATACTGACTTAAGTTAGGTATTTTGTATTTACTCATTTTTAACTTTATTTGAATATAGTTCATTACAATGTTGGAAGTTTCCTCTGGAAAAAATATAAAAAAGTAGAATAATTAACTAGTTCAGCTAATTTCAAAGATATAAATTTATAATTAATACATACATGCATTAATACTTTTGTTTGGATAGCCTCCCTAATTACAGGTTATAAAACTGCCAATAGGGTACATTTTATAACTTGGGGCAATATAATGTAAATCTCCTCTTAATTAGACATAATTGAAATCAAAACAAGGTTGGCATCTCATTGATTAGAAGTCCTTGATCATCTGATTAGTAAAGACAAAAAGATTGTTGAAAATGTGTTATGCTCTATTCAAAATTATAAACAATCTATATTTTTAGTGTCAAAATGGGATACATGTTTTTATTTCTAAACAAGAAATTGAATGCATAGCCATTGGTACATTATCAAAAGAATTTTGTGTACTTTCTAATTTTTTATATCATAATATTATGACGAATCAACTGTTTATCTATTCTAGCTAAAATTCCAACTCTTATTGAAAATTACGCTTCAATGTCAATGTAGTACAGAACTTATCATAAGACTCATTTCTTATTTTAATCTATTTTCTTATTTCAAAATAAAAGGTCTCAAAATTATTGACAAGCATTGAAGACGATAAAGTCAATTGTTTCAAAAGCTGGATATACAGTAAAATTTGGTAGGAGATCTGGTTGATCATAACGCAGCTTGAGACAATAGATAGAAATAAGGCATTTGATAGACTCTGAAGTCTTATTAATACATGCTATTTTATCTGTACTATAAAGTGATGAATACATACATATTTTCATTTAAAATAGGTTATATTTCATCAAACTGTTTTACTAAAGTAATCGAATGTAATCTAAAAGTAATTGATGATTACATCATAATTTTTGCTGTAATCGATTAAATTACGATTACATGTAATCGAAAATGTCTTCGATTACAGATTACTGTCGATTACTGGAAAAAATGTAATCAATTACAATCGATTACGATTACAGATTACGATTACCCCATCCCTGGTTGTAACTACTGTATATTCTGTGAATACCCCTAAACTTTATGATCAACCACCTTTACTTTCTTGCACATTTTCTCTATGTTGTGTCTATTCTTCCTTTAAGTAAGTCAGTTAATAATTGCGTCCTGTCTCAAATGGGATTGTTTTGTTGAATGTTTTAAACTTTTTGTTTTTATACATCTTTGTTCTATGAAAACCTCATAATATTATATTTTAATGGCTTTATGTTTTGTTTATACATATGTACCTTTTGTGAAAAATATCATATATCATGGTATGGTAACAGGTATTTGCCAAACAAATGATACTTTTTGTAAACATTCAAGATGTTATGTGAATCTACTGGTACGTGACGTGAAAACACGTATTACATTATATGCAAACACCTATAAAAGTATGTGCCAAGACCTATTACATTATGTACAAACACCTATTACATTATGTGCAAATAAAACATATAACATTATATGCAAACACCTGTTACATTATGTGCAAACACCTATTACGTTATGTGCAAACACCTTTTACGTTATGTGCAATCTCCTATTACGTTAATTACAAATACCTATTACATTATGTGCAATCACCTATTACGTTATGTGCAAACACCTATAACATTATGGGCAAACACTTATTACGTTACGTGCAAACACCTATTACATTATGTGCAAATACTTATTACGTTACGTGCAAACACCTATTACGTTAATGGCAAACGCCTATTACGTTAAGCTCTGGTCACAACGAACCCACGACACATCTTTGCAACGCCACGACATGAAATTTGGTCAAATCGCGGGTCATCTGTGATTGTCGTACGACAGTTGCACGACAGATGCACGATATTTTGAGCATCGTGGCGCTGTCGTGTGTCGTGGGACGAAAATTGGACATGCACCTTTTTTGCTCTACGATTTTTTGTCGTGTCACTGTCTTGTGGCTGTCATGAGAGTGTCTTACCACAGTCGTGTGACTGTCATGCGATTGTCGTGCGATAAACACATTGTCGTGGGTACCAACATTAACCATTTAAATAAAACAATCGTACGACTGTCGCACGACACTCGTGATACAGTCGCACGATTGTCTCACGAATACCAAATTTCGTACGATGCTCGCACAACATTGATTGTCTGCCGTACGACAGTGGTACGTTCGTCGTGCAATATATTTTCGTTTTATTTAGAATAATACAATTCGGCGGGAATGAATGCTTGGAAAAACATACCGTCTGCCGTTTAAAGAGGATGGATATTCCACCAGAACGATAACGCTTGGCCCTGCTGAATAGGCGCCTTGCTGGACTCCAACAAGAGCAAAATATGGTCCTGTTAGCGTTGATTCGAGCCCGTGAACATTATAGGAACCAGGAAAACTCCCGATGTTGGTGGGTTAGGCCATGTATCAAACGGTGCCTGATGTTTGGGCAGTATAGTACACTGATGCAAGAGTTGGAGCGGGAATCCGCCGGTTATTTTATTTGGATTCATGCGGATGGAGACTGGCATGTTTTAAGAACTTTTGCTGAGAGTCGCCCCTCGCATCACCAAGGGTCGACTGCGAGGCTGCCGCACCCCTCTTGAGCCTGGACTAAAGCTAGTCATAACCCTGCGCAATATGGCTACAGGGAACAGTTACCGCAGCCTAGCATACTCCTTCCATGCCCCCAACAACACCAACTCAGGGTTCGTTCCGGAGGATGCGCAGGCCATCGTTGATGAATATCTTGGCGAGACGATGCAGACCCAAGCACACCAGATGAATGGCGCCAAGTGGCAGACAGATTTCGAGCGCGGTGGATTATCACCATTGCTGTGGGGCCTTCGATGGCAAACATGTGGCTATCAAGGCACTAAAGAACACCGGAACCAAGCACTACAACTACAAGGGTTTCTTTTCTATAGTCCTGCTTGGAGTGGTCGACGGCAACTACAAATTTCTGTGGGCAGACGTTAGCGCAGGGGGATCCGCATCTGATGCTGGCATTTTCAACAACGACCCACTAAGAGGTGACCTTGAAGAAAAACGAATGGGCTTTCCCGACCCTAAACCTCTTCCTGGCGATGACCACAATATCCCATACTTTCTGGTTGGGAACGACGCGGTTCCGTTGCGGCCCTGGATTATGAAGCCGTACGGGGGAAGGGTGCTCGACCATGACGAGCGTATATTTAACTACAGAACATCAAGGGCTCACCGTTGGCGTGTTCTACTCACCACCATTCAATTGTCACCAAGACGTGCACAGAAGGTCACATATGGATGCATAGTGTTGCATAACCTTATGCGTGATCGCTATCTCGGCCTCCACGCGGCTGACCTTGACCAGGATGATGGGCATGGAAATATCATTCCGGGTGCCTGGCGTCAAAACGCCATGCACGAGGTCAACCAGGTGGTCGGCCTCAAGTTACAAAAG